ACGCCATTCTCCTGCCTCAGCCTCCTGTGTAGCTGGGACTACAGGCGCCCACCACCTCGCCCGGCTAGTTTTTTGTATCTTTTAGTAGAGATGGGGTTTCACGTGTTAGCCAGGATGGTCTTGATCTCCTGACCTCGTGGTCTGCCCGTCTCGGCCTCCCAAAGTGCTGGGATTACAGGCTTGAGCCACCACGCCCAGCTAATTTTTATATTTTTAATAGACACGCAATTTCACCATATTAGCTAGGGTGGTCTCGAACTCCTGACCTCGTGATCCGCCTGCCTCAGCCTCCCAAAGTGTTGGGATTACAGGCATGAGCCACCGCACCTGGCCAATTTTTTTCCCTAAAATAATTGGTACGAGCCAGGCACAGTGGCTTACAACTGTAATCCCAGAACTTTGGGAGGCTGAGGTGGGAGGATTGCTTGAAGCCAGGAGTTCAAGACCAGCCTGGGCAACATGGTGAGACCTCCATCTCTACAGAAAAAATTTAAAAATAAGCCAGGCATGGTGGCATGTGCCTGGAGTCCCAGCTACTCAGGAGGCTGTGGCAGGGGGATCGCTTGAGCTCAGGAGGTCAAGACTACAGTGAGCCATGATCACGCCATTGCACTCCAGCCTGGACAACAGAGCAAGATCTTGTCTCTAAAACAATAAGAATGGGGAACCATCTAGGAGGGAACACAGTGAAGGATGGGTCCCCGGCTGCAGATGTGACAGTGGTATCAGTCTGGGCATCCTCGGGAGGGCCAGTAGGTGGGGCAGGGCTGGCTGGGGGCATGTCCTACTCTATAGAAGCGCATGCCACAACCCCCATAACTGCTGCTGCCCTGTTCCTGGGTGACATGCCTGTCCCCTCCTTCCCCTCATCACCAGAGATGGACAGCTGCTGGGAGACAGTAACCTGCCAGGGTCCCCAGCTCAAGGCATGGGCCAGTGTGGCCCTGCAGATGAGGGCACACCTGGCTGCTTATGACAGGTGACGCCATGCCCACCTCCACAGTGTACTGCAGTGAGGGTGGCCCTTGCTGGGCTGAGGGGTCCCTGGTGGGGCAGGGGCTTCCTGTCTGGGGCTCTGCCTGCCAAGCTGAGGACGTGGAAATCCTCTGGGACGGACGGGTGCAGCTGACGCCTCGTCCCTATTGCAGAGGAAGTTCGGCGTGGTCCTGGACGAGATCAAGCCCTCCTCGGCCCCCGAGCTCCAGGCCGTGCGCATGTTCGCTGACTACCTCGCCCACGAGAGCCGGAGGTGAGGCCCCGGAGGATGGGTCGGCCTGGGGCGCAGGGCCTGTCGGTTATGAACCTTGGGTGGGCGGGGGCGTGGCGTGCAGCGCACAGCATCCCTCAGATTAGGCACCTCTCCCCTCTGCTACCCTGCTGCTTCATGCCTCAGTTTCCCTCACCTGCACAGCAGTGGGGGCTGATGATGGATCCTGCTTCAAAGGGGAGGGTCAGAGACAGTGCTGTGTGTACACATGCCCTCATGGACCACAAGGCACTCTCTCAACCTAGAACTGAAAATATCAATTACCGAACAGCCCTCTGCACCACCCAGAGCCCCAAGATGGCCCCGGGTGCAGCGGGGGCAGGGCCCTGCCGTCAGTTTTCTTGTTTATTTATGTATCTATCTATTGAGACGGAGTCTCGCTCTGTCACCAGGCTGGAGTGCAGTGGCGTGATCTCGGCTCACTGCAAGCTGCACCTCCCGGGTTCAAGTGATTCTTGTGCCTCAGTCTCCTGAGGAGCTGGGACTACAGGAACGCGCCACCATGCCTGACTACTTTTTGTATTTTAGCAGAGACTGGGTTTCACCATGTTGCTCAGGGTGGTCTCGAACTCCTGAGCTCAGGAGGTCTGCCTGCGTCAGCCTCCCAAATCCAGTCAGTTTTCTAGTCCCAGCTAGTCGGGGACTACAACCTGCCAGTGTCTCCCCTGGAGCTCAGGTGGAGGGCGGGTGAGGCCACGCCTGTCCTGCCCCTGAGCCACAGGCCAGCATCTGTCAAACACCCATGGGCGGCAGCCAAGGGGAGAGGAGGCTGGGCTGTGGGGACCCAGGAACCTTGCCCCCTCCTGCTGTGGGGTCGGAGTGAGGGTCTGGCATGGGGAGACTCTGCTGTGATCCTGCTCTTCCTTGGCCCACGGAGGCAGTGCCCCAACTACCACCTCCCTTCACCCAAGGAAACCTGGGGTTCCTGGGAGCTGACTCCAGTGCAGAGGCAGCATAGTGGGGTGAATGGTGTCCCCCAAAAGGTATGTCCATATCCTATCCCACATGCTTGTGAATGTGATATTTGGGAAAAGGGTCTTTCCCGATCAAATTAAGAGATAAGGAGATGAAGACATGCTGGATTTAGGGTGGGCCCCAAAGCCAAGGACTTGTGTCCTTTTAAGAGAGAAAAGGAGGGCCGGGTGCAGTGGCTCGCACTTGTAATCCCAGCACTTTGGGAGGCTGAGGTGGGCAGATCACCTGAGGTCAGGAGTTTTCGAGACCAGCCTGGCCAACGTGGTGAAACCCCATTTCTACTAAAAATACAGAATTAACAGGATGTGGTGTCTGTGATTCCAGCCACTTGGGAGGCTGAGGCAGAAGAATCGCTTGAACCCGGGAGGCGGAGGTTGCAGTGGTGCCAAGATCGCACCAGTGCACTCCAGCCTGGGTGACAGAGGGAGACTGTCTGAAAAAAAAAAAATAAAAGGAGAAGACAGAGGCCCCACTGAGTTAAGCCCATGTGACAACAGAGACAGACTAGGGTGACATGTTAAGCCAAGGAGTGCCACAAATGGCCGGCAGCCACCAGAGCTGGGAGAGAGGCCCGGACAGCCTTGCCCTCCAGCCTCCAGTTGGAGCCAGCCCTGCCGCCACCTTGACTTCAGACTTGTGGCCTCCAGAGCTGTGAGGAACGAAGCCCTGTTGTCCTTAACCACCCGGGTTGTGGTGCTTTGTCACAGCAGCTCCAGGACATTCGGACGGGTGACCTCCCAGGGCCACTGTTTCTCCCACCCTACACTTCACCAGCTGGAGTGAAGGCAGGGAACCCTGGGTCCCCGAGGAGCAGCAGCTGCTGTGAGCATCACAGCAAAGCAGCCCCGGAGAGCAGGCGGTCCAGGCAGGGGCTTGTGGTGTGTCCATCTGGCTGCACAGCCGCTGCCTCACCGGCAGGACTCCCCCGGGACGAGGAGCATCCATCAGTAATTGGTTTTGGTTTTGATTTTGTTTTCTTTTCTTGAGATAGGGTCTTGCTCTGTCGCTCAGCCTGGCATACAGTGGCACAATCTTGGCTCACTGCAGCCGTGATCTCTCAGGCTCAAGCGATCCTCCCACCTCAGCCTCCCGAGTACCTGGCACTGCAGGCACGCATCACCATGCCTGGCTAATATGTATTTTATTTAGAGACGGGGTTTTGCTATGTTGCCCAGTCTGGTCTCAAACTCCTGGGCTCAAGCGATCCCCCTAGTAATTGGTCTTGTGGCTGTTGTTTGTTTTTGAGATGGTCTCCCTCTGTCACCCAGGCTGGAGTGCAGAGGTGCGACCACAGCTCACTGCAGCTTCAACCTCCCGGGCTGGAGCCATCCTCCTGCCTCAGCCTCCCAAGTAGTTGGGACTACAGGCGCCACCAGGCCCAGCTGACTTTTTTACTTTTTTGTAGAAAAAGGGGTCCTACTGGGTTGCCCAGGGTGGTCTTGAATTGCTGGGCTTACGCGATCCTCCTGCCTCGGCCTCCCAAAGCACTGGGGTTACAGGTGTGAGCCACAGTGCCTGGCCCCATTGGTAACTGTAACACCTTAGGATGACAACATTACAGTACCAGCGCCACAACAGCTGGCAGCGTTTACGTCCCCTTGTGTGCTGGAGCCTCAGGAAGCTTTGTAAGGTGGTCTTGGGAGCTCCTTGCTCGTCCCCTGCGTGATCCCTGTAACATGGTCCCTCAGCACGGGGAAACAGACTCAGACCTGAAGTCACTTGTCCATCGGGCGTGGCACTGTGGCGAGCCCTCGGTGGAGCCTGGTTGGTATGAGACATGCCATGCCCTCAGTGACACCTCAGACACAGGCCCTGGGCAGACAGCCCCCAGACGTGCGTGGATGCTTATGGGGTCACAGAGCCGCGTGTGGACCCAGAAGAACACCAGCTTTGGTCTAGGGGGGCTCCCTCCCCTGCCGTCTCTTGTTAGCTGCTCAGTAGCCATGGGGAATGGAGGGTCTGGGTCCAGTTAGGGACATGGAGGCATGGGTGACCTGTGGCCTTATAGCTGAGCTGGTCCTCAGCCTCTCCTGGGCTCAAGCCTGGCCCTGGCCCGCAGCACGCTAGCCATCTTCAGGGCGTAGCCAGCACCCTGGGCTCTCAGGGACTGAGGGCAGCGCCCTGGCAGTGGGGGTGCCCCAGGGCTCCCATCCTTCTGCCCAGCCCCTCGGCACCCAGGCCAACCTCCTGCTAGAAGATGTGGCCTTGAAGCCCACAGGGCTGATGGGTTAGGGTCAGGAGTCCCAGCTGGGCCTACCAGCCTCCTCAGGAAGGTGGGTGAGGTTGGTGTGAGACTGGTGGTGCCTCCTCATGTCCTCTTGGGGTGCCCCACCCCACATCTCCCAGCCTCGGGGTCCTTGCCTGGCCCAACATGAGGGCTGCTTCATAGGAACGGAGGAAGGACATGTTGGGACAGCTCGATGCTCGGGACCTGCTGCTGCTCTGCACCCCCAGTGCCTGGCTCACCCTCTGTGAGCCTGTCTGCTCCCAAGGAAGGGGACCCTCTGAGGTCCCACAGGGGCCGCCCCAGCTGTGGGTCCTGAGCATCTCTGTCTTCCAGGGACAGCATCGTGGCCGAGCTGGACCGAGAGATGAGCAGAAGCGTGGACGTGACCAACACTACCTTCCTGCTCATGGCTGCCTCCGTCTATCTCCACGACCAGAACCCGGACGCCGCCCTGCGTGCGCTGCACCAGGGGGACAGCCTGGAGTGGTGAGTGGCCGCCCTGCTCTGGGGCCGGCCCAGGGAGGCAGGTGCCCCCTGCCACATCTCCAGGCTGTGCACGGCCTCGCTGGCCGTCGTCATGGGAGGAGAGAATGCGGTGGTGCTGAAATGAGGTCCTGGCCTGCTGTCCAGGCTCCAGCTCCCCTGCCCAGTGTGGGAGGCACTCCCATCTGTGCGCCAGGCTGCGGCTCCAAGGACACGGTGCCCAGGCTGCAAACCCTCTGTTCCCAAGGGCAGAGCAGAAAGCGGCTTTGTCTCTGCTCGGTTTCTGCGTCCCCACCCCCCACGAAGCCTTCTGTGTCTCGGCCCTGGGCCCAGTCTCTCAGGCCTCCCTGGGCCCCCCATACCGGCCCTCCTCCAGGGCCCTCTGGGGCTGGGGTGCTGGAACCCTGCACAGCAAGGTCGGTGCTCCCCTCCACCCCAAGATGTGACTCCAGGCCACGTCCAGGGTACTGGTCACAGAAAGTGTGTCAGTTCTTCCCCGTGAGCTGTCGCTGGAGTGCCTGCTGTCCACTATGAGTTGCAAGCTGGGCATTTCATGGTCGCTGTGGATCTGCTCCCATCCCACCTCCGTCCACGGAGGGCTTAGAATTGCAGGTGGCAGCCAGGCATGGTGACGTGCACCTGTGGTTCCAGCTACTCAGGAGGCGGAAGCGGGAATATCCTTTGAGCCCGGGAGGTGGAGGCTGCAGTGAGCCGTGATGGCGCCACTGCACTCCAGCCTGGGCAACAGAGCCAGACCCTGTCTCACACACAAAAAAAGAAAAGAAATAGGGTTGTCACGCTGCCAGCAAGCCGGCTGACTCAGTGCTGGTCCAGGTGCTGGCTCCTGTTGGCAGGAAAACAAGAACAAGAGGTCTTACAAGTCATTGGTGGTCACAGCCGCCGGGGGCCCAGAGGGATGAGGGGACCTGCAGAGAGTGGGTGGCCCCAGGGCTCTGCTGCAGGTACAGGTGCAGGGGCAGGTGCGTGGCCCTCCTCTAGTGCCTTGTTCCTGAGCACTGACCGTCTCCAGGGTGTTGATGAGTCCGGGCAGGGCCCTTGTTTGCAAGCACAGCCCATGGAGGCTGCTTCTCCAGATGGGCAGTGAGTGGGCTGGGGCCTGGAACCCCAACGTGGGGACCCCCCCGCCGAGCTTTCCAGGCCCGATTGAGCTGAGCGGTGAAATGTGGGAGTGAGGGTGTCCCCCTCTACTGGGTGGGGCTGGTGGTCCTAAGTACAGGACTTAAGAACATCCCAGACACACAAAGTGAGCCCTGGGTGTGCAGTGGCCATGCAGCGTGTCTGTGGCCATCCGCTGACCGTCCCCCGCCTTGTCCTGCAGCATGGCCATGACAGTGCAGATCCTGCTGAAGCTGGACCGCCTGGATCTTGCCCGGTGAGCCCTCCCACTCCTCTCTACCCATACTGAGCCATGGCCCAGAGCGTCTGTGGTGCTGTCATTACTCGTTATTCCTTTCCGTGGGGGTGACTTGCCGTCACTCAGCCCTTCCTTGCAGTATGTTGCCAGGGAGGAGGGCCATGGCTGTCTGTGCCTCAGTTTCTCTCTCTGCAGTAGTGGTGGGCCTGTCCCACAGGGTGAGAGTGGGCTTCATGGAGGGAGTGGAGGTCGTGCCCGGAGGAACATGTCGCTGGGCCAGCTTGTAACTGTGCCATGGGGCTGGCGGGGCCTGCACGTGGCATCACCAGGTCGGAGGCCATGGCTGGTGGTCCAGGACTCCCCTGCTGCCGTTTCCAAAGCCCTTGCCTGAGAGTTGTTCATGCTGTAGCTCCGTCGCCCTTCCCTGCGTTCCATCTTCCATGGAGCGAGTCTTTCCCGAGCCCTACCTTGTGCCAGCCACCTCGGGGGTCCGTAGCTGGCTCCAGTCCCGCCTTCCCGGGGCCTTTGCGTGGTGGGGCGGGCAGGGCAGCTCGGGCACTTCGTCGTGGGGTATGAGCACGCAGGGGAGCACATAGTGGGGGCCATCCCCGGGCTCTGGTGGGCCCCAAGTGGGAACAAGGCAGAGATAGCCAGGCCAGGGCTCTCGGCCGCTCAGCTCCTCCGTCCTCTGTCCCCACCCCAGGAAAGAACTGAAGAGAATGCAGGACCTGGACGAGGATGCCACCCTCACCCAGCTCGCCACCGCCTGGGTCAGCCTGGCCACGGTGAGTCCTGGGCCACGAGGCAGGCGGGCATTGCGGGCACCTGGCTGAGTAGGGTCTGTGGGCACCCCCACTTGTGCCCAGGCTGCCGGCCACTCCACTGGGGCTCCAGGATCAGGCCATGGCCCCCTGCCAGCCTGGCACAACTCTCAGCCTTCACTCCATTCCGGGCTTCTCACAGCCAAGCGACTTGGCCAGAGGCAGAGCGATGGTGGGGACGGGGACAGGGGTTCCTGAGCCTGAGGCGCAGGGGGACTCGAGGGTCTGGGTTGGCCTGGCAGCCCCTCCTCCCCCCAGGGCTTCCTGGGGTTTTCTGCGACTCAGCTTTGCTCTCCAGGGTCCTGGTCCCCAGCCAGGGACAGGGTTCAGTGTTCCCATAGCAGCAGTGGAGATGTCCTCAGCTCCCAGGCCTGGGCACCTCTGCCTGGCAACACCCCCTCTCCTGGTTTCTGGGACTTGGCCCCCTTCTGAGCCATTCTTTTGTGCAGGTCTGTTAAAATACACTTCCTGGCTGGGCGCAGTGGCTCACGCCTGTAATACTAGCACTTTGGGAGGCTGAGGTGGGTGGATCATGTGAGGTCAGGAGTTCGAGACCAGCCTGACTAACATGGAGAAACCCCATCTCTACTAAAAATACAAAATTAGCCGGGCATAGTGGCACATGCCTGTAAACCCAGCTACTTGGGAGGCTGAGGCAGGAGAATCGCTTGAACCTGGGAGGTGGAGGTTGCGGTGAGCCGAGATTGTGCCATTGCACTCCGGCCTGGGTGACAAGAGCAAAACTCTGGGGGGAAAAATGTGCTCCCCGTCCCTGCCCGCCACGGGGCTGGAGCCTCACCCAGATGGACTTCCAGTGGCTGTCCAGTGTGGTGGGACAGGCCCTGGCAGCCCTCTCGGGTAGTTTGAACTGTTTTTACAGCCTGCCTTGACCTCAGGCTCCCCCTGCAAGTATCCCACAGTCCTGAGCAAGCGGGCAGGTCAGAGTTGCTGGTCACAGAGCTGACTCATCCTCCTCCGATGTGCCCGGTGACCCAGTGGTCCCCACTCAGACCCTGGCCC